GGACTGGGACTGACTGGACCTTCCGCTGACTGACTGTGGACTTACCGCTATCCTACCGACGTTGTACTGCCGTTGCACTGCGGTTTAGTCCACCACTTGCCTCTCCACTTGAGCACTTGCCCACTTGCCTACCTTCTAGAAGGTCTACAGCTAAGCTTCCGGAACTCACTAAGACTCCTACGCTATAGACCTACAGATCRAACCCCTGCTGCCTATGGACCTACGACAGGCCTACCAACTGCCTACGAATACACAGGTCACAGGTTCAATTCTCGGGGTCTACACAGATACTGTACATGGGTAGGGTGAGGTCTAGGGATCGAACCCTGGGTACTGCATCCGCCACTGCTAAAAGGTGAAAACCGTTTCACTCCCGCCGTCCTAATTTCGAGGTGCTTCGAGAAAATTTCAGTCCAAGGCAGGACCTTTACCTTTCTTGTCACGCTCATAGGCTCTGACTATGTCGGAGCAGTCTCTAGAAGTTCTGCTTTCGTGAACCAGCGGTCGTCTTCCGGTTCCTGATAGGCAAACCGGACTTTATACTGTTTTTGGGGACGACCTCTACCTCCTGTCCTAAACACATCCTCTCCTACAATGCCCTCTATGTCATAGCTCCCATCCATATCCGGTGGGATCATGGATCTCCTGGAAGGGAACTGTTGACTAGTGACAMACGGCAGCAGCTTTGAAGCATGAAACACAGGGTATGTGTGGAGGTGTGCTGGAATCTCAATGCTGTAGGACGGTCCATCCTCTCCGCCCTTGACTTCTAGAACTGGCCACRGTCCTCTATATGCAGGCAGTAACTTCTGCGAGATGTTTTCTTCTGKTGCAAACTCTTTTGCCTTGACCCAGACTAAGTCGCCTACTTGAAACTGTGATGGGCGACGGTGCTTGTTAGCCTGCTCTATCATTCTGTGCTGGGCCTTCCGAAGGTTCTCAACAACAGTGGCTAACTCCTTTTCGTGCTGTATCGCAAACTCCCTGGTAGCGGGCGGTAATCTGTGAATCTGATCCCAGTTCAGTCCTTCGAGCGGTCTGCGCGGTCTAAAGGACTTGTGCAACTCATTGGGAGTGCGGCAGGTGGATAGATGCACGCTGTTGTTGTATGCACTAGCGACCTTGGGCAACATCTCATCCCAGTTGATCTGATCTGGTCTAATATACATCCGCAGAACTTGCTGTAGGATCTTGTTCATCTGTTCTGTCTGACCGTTAGTCTCTGGGTGACGGTCGGACGACATTAACAACTTAGATCCGTAGACTCTCATGAGTTCTTGCCAGTTCTGGCTGGTGAAGCGACTATCTTTATCACTAACTATTGACAATGGGATTCCATTCTCACTAACCCAAGAGTCAAAGAACTTCTGTATTACTAAATCTGTACGTGCCTCTGCAGGCAAAGGAACAAAAATTGCATACTTACTAAAACGGTCCACTACGACCATGACTTGCTTCTTACCATGTCTACTCTTGACTTGGGTGTCCATGAAGCATATGGACACGGAGTCTCCCGGCTGATCCGGAATAGGCAAGGGTCTGAGAAGACCTAGGGGCGCGCGTGTAGTAGACTTATTCCTCTGGCACACCTTACAACTGCGGACATACTCTATGCAGTCATTCTTCATTCTTGGCCAGATATATGCACGCATCAGGTTGGCTAATATCTTTTGTCAACCGAAATGCCCTTCAGTACTATGGCATTCCCTTAAAATCAAACTGCGGATCTCTTCGCTGTTGGGAACGCACAGGCGGTCAAACACATTAGTCTTCTCAAACAACAACCCGTCTGTAGTGCGGTAATCTGGTTCAGTTTCTGGGGCCTCTCTAACTCTCTTTAGCAGGTTGCTATAGATAGGGTCCTGCGCATATGCTTGCCTCACTTTCTCCTGCAGATCTCTCCCTATATCTAGATAGTGTACTACAGTTCAAAGTAGTCTGATCTCCTACTCAGAGCATCCGCAACTACGTTGTACTTGCCCTTCACTGGCTTGAGCTCAAAGTCGAATTGGTCTATCTCTGCGGCTCACCTAGTCAACTTAGGTGTCATCTTAGCCTGAGTCTTTAACCATCTAAGCGTTTCGTGGTCCGAATACACTTTGAAGTGCCTCCCAAGCAGGTAGTGCTTCCAATGATCTAAAACTTGCCTGAGAGCATAGAGTTCTCTCTCGTACGTGGAGGCAGCAACCTTTTCACAGGGCATCCTCGCCGACATGAACTCTATGGGTCTATAGCCATTGCCGTCGTCTTGCTGCAACACGACACCTATCCCATACTGACTCGCGTCCGTGGTGACGACAAATGGCAAAGACGGATCTGCAACTTTGAGGACAGGATACTCTATTAACGCGCGCTTTAGCTTCTTGAGCGCAGACGTATAGTCTTTGTCCCATTGCCAGATTGCCTCTTTCTTCAGCAATCGGCGCAAGGGAGCGGCGATAGTGGAGAAATTCCTCACGAACTTCCTATAACAGTTAACTAAGCCTAGGAACGACCGCAACTCTGTCAATATGCGGGGCGTCGGCCAATCTCTGATCGCCGCGATCTTGTTGTCCTCTAGCTTAATGCCATCCCCGTCCAACATGTGGCCCAAGTATAAGACTTGAGTCTTGGCCCACTCGCACTTCTTTGCGTTGATCTTGAAGTTAGCCTCTCTAAGTTTCTCCAAGACCTGCCTTAGATGACCCTGGTGCTCCTGGAGGGTCTTACTAAAGACTAAGATATCATCTAAGTAGACTACTACAAATTTATCTAACCATGGTCTAAACAGGTTATTCATACAACGCTGAAAAGTAGTTGGCGCGTTGGTCAGTCCAAAGGGCATCACTATAAACTCATAATGCCCATATCTAGTCCAGAATGCAGTCTTGTACTGATCATCAGGATGGACTTTTATCAGATGGTATCCGGACTTTAAGTCTATCTTAGAGAAATACGTACACCCCTGCACTCGATGTAAAAGATCGTCTATCCTGGGCAGCGGCTCAGCATTCTTTACTGTAATCGCGTTCAAACCCCTATAGTCTATACATATACGAAGCTCTCCTTCCTTCTTGGGGACAAACAAAACTGGCGCTCCAAAAGGAGACGAACTGGGCCTAATCCAACCCTTCTCAAGGAGTTTGTCTAACTGCGTGCGAAGCTCCTCTAACTCTCTAGGGACATCCTGTAGATTGCACCCTTAGGAGTTCTACCGCCAGACTCTATCTCTATCCTGTGTTGGATGGGTCGTGACACAACTCCTGTCGGCGACTCAGTCAAGTCTTTGAATTCTTCCAGCAGCTTGGCAATTGTTGGATCTGTGGAGCTATCCTTTTCTAGGGCCTCAGTGACAGGTGTAACATAAACTACAAAGACCTGGTTTTCTAACTGCTCCCTCTTTACTAATCGCGCGAACGCGGGAGCACTGAGACAACAATGTGCCAAGGTGTTGTCTACACCCGACACATGGAACAAGCGGGCAGGCTTAACTTCGCCTGTCGGGCTAGGGAGTCTACACTCATGCTCTCTCAAATGAAGTGTGGCCCCTGCTGCCTCTCCCCAATCCATTCCTAACACTATATCGAAAGGAAGGTCATCCTGCACGAGGAGAGTCAGGGAATGAAGAGTTTTCTCCACCTTCCCATCCTTCTCTAGGCGAAAATATGCATGGACTCCCTCTACATAGTCCTCAACGCGCATCGTGCGGTTGTCTGCGAGGACACTGACTATGGGGTCTACTAGTTTCTGGACCTTTAGTCCTAGCCTCAGCTTCTTCAGCGCCCTACAGCTAATGTAACTACAGGTAGCCCCTGAGTCTACAAGGGCCGCTACTTTACTTCTAAACACCTCTACATCTTCCAAAATCAGTTGTTCCTTACTCTCCCTTTTCATTTTGGACCAGGCTGGCATCCTCTCCTTTAACTCTTCCGCCACACCTGTGAGGGACGTGCCTAAAGAGACGTTAACACATGAAGTCTCTGGACAACTATCTAGGCACGGGCCTGCAACCTCTGCCATAGGCTCATGTGGGTTGGGAGTGTCCTGTTCGCGCGCGCTCACTTCTCCACATGGCTTGGAAGTAGGGGCAGTTGCGACCCCTACTGGCGGTTGCCTTTTGACTGCTGAGCAGCCCAACGGGCCTGTCTATACTTTGGACAAAATTTGATAACGTGGGCCGGGTCACCGTAGAATACGCACTGACCCCGGTCCACGCGTTCCTGCCATACGCGCTGGTCCAAGCCCAAATCTTCCCAGGGCATGCCCTGYGGCAAGCCTGGGTGCCATCCTCCTTGAGGTGCCCTTCCACCTCTTCGTTGTGGGGACCGATTACCTTGGCGATTTGACGGGGGACCTTGATCCCTACCTTCCGCTTGGCGGTTTCCCTGCCTGCCAACCACCTGTGCGCCTGGTCCTCGGCCACCCATGGCCTGACCCCTTTGGCCGTGGCCACCTCCTCCTCCCTGCGGCCTCCCTCCAGCCGCGACAGCAGCGTAAGACCTCCCCTGCCCCACACTACTGCCATCATCTTCAAGGTCCCACTAAATCTGGTCATATGGGACCTCATCGGTACCACATTCTTCTAATGTCAGGATCATGTGATCCTTGGCCTTTACTTGGCCTGAGATGGTACGATTCTTCCACTTCTTCCCCTTCTCTAAGTCCTTATGCCAGAAAGTGGTCACTGGCATAGACTTCGACTCATATAAGACGACTTCCCTACTCAATGCATCATAAGTCATGCCGGTCTGCTGAGATTTGTCAAAGAAATGCCCGCGTAGGGCCTCTAGAATGGCACGATAAAACAACTGGACCTGCTGGGGCTCAGTGACCCCGTGGTCCGGGACGGCTACGAAGTCGTCAATATTACCCTTGAGTGCCTTAGCACTCCTCCACTGCCGMGAGTGGATCGTTTGGAGCTTTTTAGAGGCTCTAATGCCTCGCGTTGGGTCAGCGAACCGCTCCTTGAGGAGCTTGAGGAACTGGGAAAGAGGAGTGACTTTGGAATACGCAACCAGGTTGTTTTCACAACCGGCTGTACGCGCGAGAGACCTGGCGAAGCTAGCCGCTTCATCCTTCAGGGCCTGGAAGGGCACGAGGACTTGCTCCTCCATCAGGATATGCTGTAAATAAATGTAACTATTGACACTGGCCTCCCAGTTGTCAAAGTTATCGTCCTTCTTTCCCCCGTACGTGTCTGAGAACTTAAGTTTCACTGGGTCCTTACGGGGTCTGGCCTCTCCTTCTACAACGGCTGCAGCTTTGACACCCTKAATGGCGCCCTCACAAAACTTCCCTACATTGTCCCTCAACTGTTTGACTTCGCCCCCAATGTGGGTGACGATTTCGCGCGCAAAATCCCTGAACCCGGACCGCATGGCACTCAACGCTACATCCTGGCTCCAGTTTGCCTGGCGCTCCTCCATCCTGGCCTTGCTCAACACCTCTTAATAGCCCAGTACTTTGTCCCACTTGGCCTTATCATCTGGCTGGGCCAGCACCTCCGCTCTACCGTCCTGCACCTTTGCCACTGCTGAGGTCATCTTATTCACTTCCTCTCTCCTCCTCTTCTTCTCCTTCTTCATTCTCAGCTTCCATGCTAACTTTTGCTCGTCTTCCCTCTCTCTTCATTCCATCGGGTCTGTCATGGCTGCTAACTCAGCGGCCAGTGCAGCCTTCTCATCCTTAGTCACATATGACTCTGCCTCCTCGTCTTCCCCCAACGATAAATTAGCGACCCACTCGCTGATCTTCTTCTCCAGCTCAGTATCTATCTCCCACTTCATCGTGCCACCACTACTTCCTTCCCCACTCTCAATTCTCATTCTCTCTTTCTCTTCTTCTACGGCCGCTTCTGCTTCAGCAGCCTTCCTTCTTTCTTCCTCCTCCTGTTGTACCCTCTTCATCTCCTCCTCCAATCTGTTCATCTTCGCCGCCTGCTCGTCTGCGATAGCCTTTAGCTTGGCTTGCTTTTCACGCTCTTTCCTCTCCTTATTCTCTCTGACTAATGCGGCCATCTTTTCTTGCTGCTCAGTGGTGTAGGGGCTAGTCTCCTTCCCACTACGGGTCTCAACCATGGTGATAAGTGTACAACCGATTTAGTGGTTCCAAACCTCACCACGTAGACGTCAACCCCTGACTGACAGACCTACTGACTCAATCTAAGACTCACAGAATCCTAACAGGAATCCTGTCAACTATGGTCTCTAGCCTAGACCTACACTATGGCTGTCACTACTGAACCAGTGGTTGATCAGGAGGCATTTAAGGAGATCCCTCGTAACTCGTCAAGAATTTTTTAACGTCGCAGACAGGACGACGTAATCAGCTTGGTTCTTCCTGTGCTTTCAGCCCACAACTCCGCCTTTCCGGCCTACTTTGCCACACCGAGCAGCCCGCCGGTCTGTACCGGTCCTTGGGAGGGTTCGTATCCCCCGGGACAGTCGAGTCGTCAGACACAGATCATCAGCCTTACTTGGTCTGGTAGGCGAGTGGTTCCAACAGGCCCTCAACACTTAAAGACGGCCTCCGTTTCAGCCTGCAGCTCAGAGTTCGGACCCTCTACACTGAAACTGAGCAGACCTCCCGGACAGTACCGGTCATTGGGCTAGACGAGTTGTTTAACGAGCGCTCGCCGCTCATGCCCAGGTCTCCAGATACCAGARTAGAGATTRGTCCTACTAAGTCYCGTGCAGGTTTGGCAGCAAGGCCCTATCCTTCATCCACAGAGTTCTATGACCTAGGACAGAAGAGACTCAATGCAGAAAGAATAGACAGACAGACTRTACTCAGCAAGTACCAAGGGGTATGTGCACATCCATAGGGCAAGGGGCAGGCTAAGGGCTTGGCGAGATGTTACCAACTCCAGCTTGGTCAAAGTCTTGGTCAACGCCTTGGTCAACGGCCTTGGTCAACTCCGGTCAACGCTGCGATGACCCTCGGTCAACTTCGGTCAACTCCGATCAACGTCTCCGGTCAACCCTTCCGGTCAACTCCCCGGTCAGCTATGGCTGTCGGCACTTCTTCCTCGCCAATCCCCTTCTTCTTCCTTACCTCCCTCGCC